TCGAAGTAACAACTCGTCGTCACTCGATCGAGGTCGAACCCTTCTTATTTGATGGCGAAGGCCCTTGGACTTGACGGGTGTTATTTCGAACTTATCGGAATAACTGCCTGTCATCGTTCGATCGAGGTCGAACCCTTCTTATTTGATGGCGAAGGCCCTTGGCCTTGAAGGGTGTTATTTCGAACTTATCGGAATAACAGCCCGTCGTCATTCGATCTAGGTCGAACCTTTCTTTTTTGATGGCCAAGGACCTTGGCCTTGAGGGGTGTTATTTGGAACTTATCGAAGTAACAGCCCGTCGTCGTTCGATCGAGGTCGAACCCTTCTTATTTGATGGCGAAGGCCCTTGGCCTTGAAGGGTGTCATTTCGAACTTATCGAAGTAACAACCCATCGTCGTTCGATCGAGGTCGAACCCTTCTTATTTGATGGCGAAGGCCTTTGGCCTTGAAGGGTGTTATTTCGAACTTATCGGAATAACAGCCCGTCTTCAGTCCTAGTTTCTGGAGAGTTGGGTATTTTCTGTAGGAGTCCCAGTTTGCCTGGTATTGCTTTCATCAGATGGTACAATGCCGGTGGACGAGAGGCCTCAACGTTTAGTATAGGCTTGTGTTGTGTGCGCATTATAGTTTTCTTGTATGACTCCAGCCATTCAGCTCGGAGATGCTACCGGTAGGGTGGTTTTCGGCTATATTGAAGTACTTTTTGTTCTTCAATCTAGATGTCCTTGTGTTCGTTCGTCCACGCGGATCTTATGTGCTTGCCTTGACGAAGTGTGGGCGGTGAGGGTGAGATTTTCTTCGCTTCCCTCCGGTAGTTCGGTGGGGGAGAGTTGGTTCTGAAGCACCGTTTGCCTTGTTTAGAATATTTGCAGTTGATGGGGCAAGGAATTCCAGGTTCGGTAAACCCACTCGACTCTCCTTCCTTTACCGTGTTGTCCCATATCTCGTGTGAGTGAGATTCTCCCTTCATGCTTCTTTCGGCGAATGATTGTGCTTCATAGCTTTGATCTGGAAAAAACTAGGAATTTTCACTAAGAAATCCCCACAGACGGCGCCAAATTGTTTGACTCAAAAGATGTTGAGACCTTTCGGACAAATTAATCAAAGATGAAGGGGTAAATCTTTGCCAAAGAAGATAATTAACTCCAGATCGAAGCGTTAGTGATAATGAACGCATATGAAACAAAAGAAACATGATCGATCTTATTAATTTTAAACATCGTTTTCCTCACTCACTGATGAGAGAGTAGATTTACAGGGGTTCATTGAAATCATTTTTTCCCTTTTCTAAGAATACCATGAAGAGGCTTCTTGTCCTCCCTTTTTGGAGAATGGGCTAGCCCCCTCTTGTTGAGAGTTCTCTGGCTATATATAGTCGAGATCCCTTTGCTCATTGCTTGACTTGACACTTTCTTGTCGTCAATGTGTCCTGGTCTTGTTTTTAAACATTACTCTTTTTGACTTGTCGAATGTCGTAGAGGAGAAATGGAACAAGCTCTATTGGCTTTCATTGTACAGTTACTGGGCACGAGGTGGTGGGCGACCTAATCGTGATGGTCGGATTTTGACCAATACAAAACCTTCGCCCAAATTACAAGGGTTTCGGTGCCGACGTCCTAGTACTGCGGTGCAGATTTGCCGGTTACGCGTATATTGTAGCAATGAATCCACTGAACGAAATTCAGCATTAAATATCCATATGCTAGTTGTCACAACAGTACAAAATTCTATACATCGACCCATCTTATATGTTGGAGTATGTAATATTGCTTAAACAACTATACGCATGCATCTAACGTTATGTATTTATGTTTTACTTCTTTGAGCATTTAAGATATGATTTTTACGTCATAACTTAGAACGTTTTTGTGTTAGAAGAATGTATCTTTGAATTTATCAAGATTGATATCCAACTCACAAGGTCAATGTAAATTTAACTAAGAGCAAAACACAAGTAACGCTTGCTAATTGTTAAATGGGCAGTTTGGTTCGCAAAGCATTCATCATTTATGCAGGGTTCGGGAAAGGGTCGCACCCCAAAAATTATAATGTAAACAACTTATCTCTAATGTAAAGACTATTTCCACGGCTTGAACCAGTGACTATATATTATACGAAAATGACTTTATACTTTCGTTTTTAGTTGTTGAAACTTTTAATTTAGCAGTTAAAAAACGTACGTTGTTCCACTGAGATTTTGATAGTCGAGCTGGAGCAGAATATATTGAAGTTGGATTAGGAAAGAACAATCAGCTGCAGACAAAATAAGTCCTAGTAATTCGCAGCTGTCCCATGACTTAATGCACAACTTACGAGGTAGCCAACAAAGATTCAGATTCTCAGAGTCGGCTGAGTCACCAATGGATAAGCCTGCTTCCAAAACAAAAACCTCACCACTAGAGATGCAGAGCGATGCGTGTGCGGGGCGGTCGCTACCTTAATCCGTAAAATTTTAATACACCCTTCCATGTTTCGTATTGCATTTTCACCGCATCAACTCACCCCGCATTACCTTCCCCCGCCCCACAAAATTTCCTCTTTTTTTTTTCTTTTCAATTTGTTTTATTTTTATTTTTGTCTTTTTCAATTATGTATATATATGTCATTGCTAATATAAAGATTTCCATCAGCATTCAGTGGCAAACCAAAGAAGTTATATTTTGAATAGCCATAATTAGGGAATAACTATAAATCCTACCGAATGCTACTAGTATGTCATTCTAATATATAATTCAAATTGTACAATGTAATGAGATCATATACATGAACTTAGCTTAAAAAAACGGAAAAGGTTCAGATATATCCCTTTACTTTTCTTTATTGTTCATTCATATTCTCCGTTATACTTTTCGTTCAGATATTCCTCTGCCGTCCATTAAAGTTTTATATTTATCTCTATTTTAACGGTCAAGACACGTGACAACATTTAATCAAAAGATCCAACCCACAAAACTAAAAAACCCATACCCAACTAAAACCCATGACCAGTCGGACCCATTCCCCTCTTAAAACACCCCTCTTCTTCTTCTCAAAAGATCCAACAGTTCAGAAAAGGATAATCGAGAAAATCAGCATACTTTTGGTTGTCCTGCAGGCAGATCATTATCAAAACATGTAGCTATATGAAATTGTAATAATGTGTGCCGCTGCCCAAATCGAATCAGAACAGCTAGAGTTGTTGTTTCCTTTCAAATGGTTTTGGCATCTGCTCGGGTTATTCTCTTTTTCTTTTGAAGCTTATTCAGCAACCATTTCCATTCCATCTATTGAAATTTTTGGCTGCTGCGCACCACAGCCACCTCTATGCTTCAATCCACAAATTTAATGGTTTACCCACTTATAACTTAATTAATAGTGATAAACATATGCTCTGTAATTCAATCATTACAACTCCTTCTTCACCCCTTCATTGCCGCCATGGATTCTCGTTCTGGAGGAAAAATTGTTAAGAATTGGCGAAAGAGATACGTCGTTGGTCCTTACGACACCACTGCCGTCGAAACAACAGGCGTTTCTCGACAGCCCTAGTTGTCTCGCCGACCATATTTTTCCAACGTCGCGTACAATTCTTTCTGGCGCTGCTAAGACTCTGAATGATTTTTAGTTCCGACTCGTCTGCTTCTCCTCCTCCGATACCGACTCCATGTTTGGTACTCCATGAAATTGATGAAAAAGAAGAGGAGAAGTATGTGGATGCTTGTGATTAAGAAGAGTAAAAGGGGAATAGGTTTGTGTGGGTCTTGGGTAACGAGTCGGGTTTGATTCAATCTCTCATAAGACGCCACGTGTTTTGATCGTTAAAATAGGGATAAATATAAAACTTTGATGGACGGCAGAGGTATATTTGAACGGAAAGTATAACAGGGGACATAATTTAACAATAAATGAAAGTAAATGGATATATCTAACCTTTTTCTGTTAAAAAAATTAACTATATAGTTAAAAGTGGGACTTTGGAGCAATAAATAAAATATTAAACAAGCTTTTCTTTCTAATGATGCAATTAGCAGAATCATTCATATTTACAATCAACTAAATAAACGTCTACTATGAATCAATTTAAAAAACTAAATCAATTTAAGACTACAAAGATCCAATTCCTAGGAGAATGAATTATAAGTTCAAAACTTGAAAACAAATATTTCTTGATTGAATATTAGTGATCGATAACTAAAAGTTTACTTATTTGAAAATTTTAAATCATAACCTACACCTGCAAAAAACTGAATTTATTTTTATGTTGAACCGTCCGCCCCGCATTCGCATATGTATAAATCCGTCCCGTCCCGTATATGTATAAACCCGCACCGCTCCACACCTGCACCGTCCCATTACCAGCTCACCATACACGTACTTTAACCATACTACTATCACATGGCATTTCAGATAACTAGGGACAATTTTATGACATGGCAAATTTTAAACTACGTCTCGATATTAATTAAGTCCAAATATCACCAATTATTATAATGTGATGAATATGATTCTAATACTATTAATTAGACTTATAATTTGATCACAAAATTGCAGAAACATAATTTTTTTATGGTGGTCTTTAATTTTTATCTCCATTTGTCTCATAGGCTTAAGGTCATTGGCAAAACTTTAAGGTTAAAAGTTAAAGTGTTGTGTATGAGACAAACAAGAAATAACATTTGTTAAACTTGAATTTTTGCACATGGGGTAAACAGGGACATAACTTTAAGACCGTTGAGTTATTTGTCCTGCTAGAAAGTGCTTCCATTCGATTAATCTTATGTATATTAAGGTCTAAATATCGATACCGAACATTAGGCGAAAAATCAAAAAATTAAAATACTGACCAATTATATTGCATGGGTTTTAATTTTAAATTTCTAAATTTGATTGAGCTAAAAAAACGCATTAAATATTACACGTTCTTGTGTCAAAGATATTGTGTTGAATTAAATTATATTATTAAAAATAAATGCTTCACCCGCCTATTTCCTACCAATATAAATAGGAATGTTCATTCACCTATGACCTATCCAAACATTCACACACTAACCTTGTCTCCAATAACTAATCAAATTGTTCTATAACAAAAAATTCCAATCCAATGGCTTCTACTTCTTCTTCTTCTTTTCTTCTCTCAACTTCAATTACCGGTTCCAAATTCTCCGCCGGTACACCACTAGCACCGCCGAGCTCCGTCAGCTTCCGGCAGCAGCGATCGTTCTCTGTTTCCGCCGCTTACTCCACCGCCGAGAGGACTACAACTAGTTCTAACATCGCCTCACAGTCATCGTTGTATGAAGTTCTAGGACTTCAAGCTGGTGCTACTACTCATGAAATTAAGTCTGCCTACCGGAGATTAGCCAGAATTTTACATCCCGATGTCGCCCGATTTCAGCAGAATTCTTCAGCTGAGGACTTTATTAGAGTGCAATCAGCTTACGCTACTCTCTCCGATCCAGAGAAACGTGCCAAATATGATCGGACCCTATTTGGGAATATATTTGGACGATCTGTTGGAGTGTCGTCGGCGGGAACTCGTAGCCATTACACTACTTGCCGGAATTGGGAAACCGATCAATGTTGGTAGCTTTTTTGCTTCGAACGGTTCATTGTGGATTTTAGCACTCCTTCCAAACTCACAAGCTCGATCAATTTCGTCTCCTGATTTGGTTTTGGTTAAAATCACCGTGTACCATTGTTAGTAAACTGTCTTTGTAAAATAATTCTGGAAATATAAGTGAACATAAACAGAAATGAACATAAACAAGAATGAACTACGAAATAACAATAAGAGATCCTCATGCCATGACATGGTGTTCTCGGGCTATGAAAACGGTGCCTCCAAACGATGACGTCTTTGGATGAGTTGGTGATATTTCAGCCCATGAAGGATGCAGTAGTATGGACAAGACAGAGCTTAGTCTTGCGAATTGAAGGGCAGAGCTTAGCCCGTACGAGAAGCGAGATAAATAGTGTTTGGGATAGTGCTTAGTTTCGAAGAAAATGAGAGGCAGAGCTTAGCCTCGGAAGGCAGAATGATAGCCTTATGCAATGCAGATGCAAATGGAGGTAGAGCTTAACCTCGGAAGACAGAATGATAGCCTTATGCAATGCAGATGGAGGTAGAGCTTAACCTCGGAAGACAGAATGGTAGCCTTATGCAAGTTGGAAGGCAGAATGGTAGCCTTATGCAATACATATGCAGATGGACGTAGAGCTTAACTTCGGAAGGTAGAATGGTAGTCTTATGCAAGTTGGAAGGCAGAAAGGCAGCCTTATGCAATGCAGATGCAGATGGAGACATCGTTTAGTCTCGGAAGGCAGAATGACAGCCTTATAAACGTAATCTTCCTATTGGATTATGCTTATGCGACGTGCCACAATATTGACTTTGTAATTGTACACGTTAGAACTCAGGAAATTATTGGATTTGATTCGATATAATATTGGATAAGAAAGTGACTACTTGAACATAAATAGGGTTTTCCATCTATTATATGTGGAACATATTGGTCTATATCTTGTGACATGAATTTGAAAAGTTAGGTATTCAGTTCGAAACAGATGAATGTCTATTTGAAATTTGAGCCTAATTTTCAACTTGAGGCAAAAAATAAACAAGTGTGCATACATCAATGTAAACGTAATCTTCCCATTGGATTATGCTTATGCGACGCGCCACAATATTGATTTTGTAATTGTACACGTTAGAACTCGGGAAATTATTGAATTTGATTCGATATAATATCTGATAATAAAGTGACTACTTGAACATAAACAGGGTTTTCCATCAATTATATGTGAAACATATAGGTCTATATCCTGTGGCATGAATTTGAGAAGTTAGGCATTCAGTTTGAAACAGATGAATGGCTATAAGAAATTTGAGCCTAATTTTCAACTTGAGGCAGAAAATAAATAAACGTGCATACCGTCAATGTAAAACGTAATCTTCCTATTGATAAGCAAGGGCGAACTGGATTATGCTTATGCGACGTGCTACAATACTGATTTTGTAATCGTACACGTTAGAACTCAGGAAATTATTGAATTTGATTCGATATAATATTGGACAAGAAAGTGACTACTTGAACATAAATGGGGTTTTTCATCAATTATATGTGGAACATATAGGTCTATATCTTGTGATATGAATTTGAGAAGTTAGGCTTTCAGTTAGAGACATATGAGTGGCTATTAGAAACCTGAGCCTAATTTTCAACATGAGTTAAAATATAAATAAGCGTGCATACCATCAATGTAAACGTAATCTTCTTATTGATAAGCAAGAGCAAATTGGATTATGCTTATGCTACGTGCCACAATATTGATTTTGTAATTGTACATGTTAGAACTCAGAAAATTATTGAATTTGATTCGATATAATATTGGACAAGAAAGTGACTACTTGAACATAAATGGAATTTTTTATCAATTATATGTAGAACTTATAGTTCTATATCTTTTGACATGAATTAGAAAAGTTAGGCATTCCGTTCGAAACAAAAGAGTGGCTATTAGAAAACTGCGCCTAATGTTCAATATGAGGCAGAAAATAGATAAGCGTGCATATCATCAATGGAAACACGACATAATATAGAATTTGAGGCAAAAAATACAATTTAAGTATGCATACCATCAATAGAATCAAGAAAGCTACTAATAATCACCGAACAATCTATGGGTTTAAGAACTCAAGGGTCAATGGGAAAGCACATATAGTATGACGTCTCAATTCAAAAAAATGAGTAGATTATATTCCGCATTGGTTGAAAAATAATAAATAAATTAACAGCTGATATATAGAGATCCATTTCGCTTTATTTAAGAAAAATAAATTAATCCCCACGGTCCATATTAATTGATTTTTTTTGTTGTTTTCATACATATTAAGGAATCCATCTTTTATTATTAATTAACAATAAAATTGACCATAGTACCCTTAATTTATTCATTAGAAATATAATAAATACTCTTTGGCATTTTACTCCACGCGAAACTTTGGAAAAAAGAAGTTAATTCATTTTTTTATATCTAAAAAATTTAAATATTATGGACCACAAAAAGGCTAAAAATCAATTAAAGTGGACTAAAGGAAGTAGTTTATCTATATATACTATAATAAAAGCACTAAGGCCCTTAGCAAAATATCGCTCGCCTTTTTTAATATTTAAAATTAATTTTACATTAGACAAAACTGTCATTTGAATTAAATTCTTAATATTTAGGATTTTAAAAAAAAACTAAAACCTTACTTATTAATTCTTTCCTTATTTAACTATCTAAGAAGTTTTCAATTAAATATTTCCCTTATATAAACTCCTTTTGAATATTCCTACTCAATCACTTACTATTCTTTTTAACTGTTAATTTTCACAATAAACTAAGTACTTTTAACTTTCGAAAAAATAGATTGCCTGGGCATTCTTTAACTCCAACGTGACTTCTTTTTAAAAGAAAATTGAGTCTTATCTTTTTGAATTAAGAGGTCAATTCTAGGAAAGTTAAAAGTGAAAAATGTAAAATAGACTATTGTATACAATAAAATATGTTATGATAAGTCATTGCATGAAAGAATGACATGTAGAGTCGAAGGTAGAGGGTAGCTAAAACCGAAGACAACTGTTTCATCTGTTACCAGAAAGAATGGTGCTCATAAAGATTGTCACGACCCTAAACCCAGACCCGATCGTGATGGCGCCTCTCGTGAAGACAAGGCCAACCGACACAACACCCAATTTATTTTTTAAGCAATTAAAATAACACAATTAAGCCATTAATAATAAGAACTCCCATAATAGAGTGAAATATATCAACTGCAGAAAACCAAACACAGCCCGACATCGGGGTGTCACCACGAGCATCTAACATAAGTCTAGGAATACGGAAAAGGGTTTACACAGTCTATTACAAAATCCAGTACAAGGGAAAGAAATAATGATAAGAGGGAGAAACACTGGGTTGCGAACGCCGAGCAGCTACCTAGTGGATTCCGAAAATCTGCTGGAAGCTATCAACCCTCGCTAGCAGGACCTGAAGCTCCTGAATCTACATGTAGGGTGCAGGGAGTAAAGTGAGTACTCCAACTCAGAGAGTAATAATAATAAATGAAGACTGAGCGATAAGAAATCACGTAAAAATACAACAACATGCTATAAAGAAGCAGTGTAAAACCAATAAAATGCAATAAAATAGTGAAATCTTATAAAAATACCTTGGTTCAGAATACAACTTTAAAACACCTTTTCAACAGTTAAACAAGTAAATGAAAAGCAGCTAGAAAAGATAAACACATAAAATCCGCCTCTCGAGCACAATGTCAACGGAATCAACCCCTAGAGCAACAACATGGAACAATACCAGTCCCTCGGGCTATATCTCATATTACAATGGGTATCCGCGCTCACTGGGGGGTACAGACTCCGGGAGGGGCCCCTTACGACCCAAGCGCAATATCAAGCCATCTCGTGGCATAATCAATAGGCTCTCAGCCTCATATCAAGCCACCTCGTGGCGTGCAATTCAGGCCCTCGGCCTCATAGTCATGATTCAGCTCAATAACCTCACAACACATGCCCTCGATCTTACTCAGTCAGAAATCTCTAAAAAGCCACTCGGGCACAGTAAAACATGATACTCAGCCCAAAAATATCATTTAAGTGTTAAAACAGAGTAAATATGGTTGAGTTATGAAAATAGTAGAATGTAGCATGACTGAGTACAGATATAAAATCAAAACAATGAGAAAATAACAATAAAAATCCCCTAAGGGTCCAAAACAATTGGCAGGAGGTCCAAATATGGCATTCCGCCCAAAACATAATGATAGCAAACAGTTTTCAATCAAATACACAGTAAAATAGTCATTCGGGATGGACTAAGTTGCGATCCCCAATGGTGCGCGACCCCACGCTCGTCATCTAACGTGTGCATCACCTCAATAAAGCACAAGGATGTGTAGTCCAGGGTTTCATACCCTCAGGACAACATTTACAATCATTACTCACCTTAATCCGGTCCAAACTCTAGCCTGTGATGCCTTTGCCTCTCGAATCGGCCTCCACTCGTGTCGAATCTAACCAAAATAAGAACGAAATCATCAAAATATGCTAAGGGAACATAACCCACCCGAAAGAAATCAAATTACAACACAAAAACCAGAAATTGGCCAAACCCGACCCCCAGGCTCACGTCTCGGATTCCCATAAAAATTACATCAATAGAATCCTTGTCACTCCCCGAGTTCATTCATATTAAAATCACCAAAATCCAACCACAAATGATCCCTCAAATCCCAAATTCTAGGTCTCCAATTACAAGCCCTAGTTCTTCAATATTAGGCTTAAATTCCATGATTAATTAGGTAGAAAACACATTAGGATTGAGTATAAAGTCCATAAATCTTACCTCCAAGTGTTCCTCCTTGATTCCCTCTTCAATTCCCTTTAAGGAGCTTTAAAATCACCCAAAAATGGAGGAACTTAGCCTCAAAATCGCGGAAATGAGCTTTTAAAACATTCTGCCCAACACTTAACATTCCTTAATCGCGATCGCGGGACCTCCTTCGCGATCGCGGGACCTCCTTACCAAACTCCAAATTTACCCTATGCGAACGCGGATAGACCCACATGAACGCGATGCACAAGACCTTACACCTACATTATCACGAATAGAGCCACGTGAACGCGATGCACAACTTGACCAACTCACGCGATCGCGATTCAAGTTACGCAATCGCTAAGCACAACCTGAACTGCCCCCATCACAGCCCTACGCGATCACGCGATCGCGAGACTCCCTACGCGATCGCGAAGAAGAAAAACCTGCACCAGCTGAAGCCCAAAAATCTACAACTTTCCACAACATGAAATAGTCCGT